ATCATACACTATATATTGCTTTTTTCATACTTTATCTTCAGTTATATATTATTCACATAATATACAGCCAGTGTGGGATGGCATATTATTCTGAAATGGCTAAATGCAAAAACCTACTCTTACAACTGATAAAATGGTTGTTGTGAGAAGCATGCATATTTAATTCCTTGGTATTTTATTCTTCGGCTATTGTTGACTCCTATTTCGAACGAACGTATTTGGAATCGGGATTAGCTAAACTTCTCTGTTTGAACAAAGATAAGGTTTATTATTCACAGTAGCATTTCTGTAGCGACCGTCAGACCACAGCAAACTCTTATCCCATTTTCTTCTTACAACAAATCTGTGAGGTAAAGCTGATGATAAAACAAATTATGGTTCAAACTGGGGCTGAGGAGGAAGTTGAATGAAAGGCCAAAATATTTATCTTATTTTGTCATGTTGGTCTTACAATTTCCCCTTGGAAGCAGAATATTCTTTTTGAATACTTTATACTTTCTTCAGTACTGAAATCTGGTTAGCAACTGTTTTCTTGTTGGCACAAAAAGCCGGAGATAGCATGGCTAACTTTCAAAATTATTTTTAGTATGTTTGCATGCGTGTGTGTTTGTGTGTGAGCTAAAGGTAAAGATACCATTGAGCTGCTTGACTCCTATGGGTGTGTGTGTGTGTGTGTGTGTGAGAGGGAAGATTTATTTTTAAAAATGTCTAATTTGTATTTCAGAAATCTAAACGAAGGGCAGCTTATTCAGATTCAGTTTTTCTTTTTTCCCTCCCACCTTTCCCTGCTTATCTGTCATGCTTAGATCTGGTGAGCAAAATCCAAACAGCATTTATCTTTCCAGGCTACTCTGGAGCCCTGCTTGGAAATTAATTTCAGCATGGCTTGCAGGCTGTAAGAAACAGGGTAATCTCTGGTGTTTTTCTATGTACTGGCTTCTTTTGCTTCCCCTGGAGTGATTCTATCATTTTTCCCCCAGCCCGCCCTTGACATCCTTCACTGAGTAATGACTTTGCAGTCACTGTGTACATGCACAGAATGAATTCAGGGCCAGTTCTTCATAACTGTGCACTGTAATCTATCCATATATTCTATTATGTTGGCTTGGCTTGGCAGACAAATCATGTCACCGATGGCACAGAAATTTGCCAGCTTTTTTTAAATCAAGATATTTTTTAGCTGCTAGAATGGGTACTTATCCCAATCCAAATATTCTCTATATCTGGATTCAGGTGGGAGTGGGGTGGGGAAGGGAGATAAGTAGAAGCCGGACTGAGGTACGAAGTCTTGTTCAAGAGAAGTCAAAAGAGAAGGAATAAAACCAAAGGCAATTAGGGATTCGAATACAGATGTTCGTCACTGTATTAGTCCCAGGGAGATTTTATTTCACTGATGCACAAATAGCTAATTTTTTCCAATGTATCTACATGTGGTCAGAACTGAATTGAGCCATATATAGGCAAAGCTTAATACATATCACAATCAAGCAAAACAATAAATTTCTTCTGAGCTATAATTGGCCCTTTCCAGAACAAACTAGGTGCATGAACTGGGTGAAATAACTTTGTTTTTCTTCCCTTTCTCCAAATGAACTTATATTTAACACCAAGGCAGCAAAATTGAATGGCAGTAGTGATACAGGCAGAATATCAGCATACATATTTGCATATGTAAAGGGTTGACACATATGCTACCCTAGTCATTTGCCGAAAAAAAAGTGTGTGTCTGTGTGTGTGTTTTGGGGGGGGGGGAGGAATTAATGCAAGATATTTTTGTGAAGGCAAAAATAATTCAGAAAAGCAGAGATTTCTGGTTCCCTGTGGACATTTTTCTTGAGATCTGCTTTCTCATACAGAAAAGTCTGAAAAGAGAAAGACAGGTTTCCTACTTCTGTTGTGTTCTTTCCACTATTCATTTAGAATATAAATGTCTGGCTGGATGAGGAATTCTGGGAGTTGAAGTCCACAAGTTTTTAAAGTTGCTCAAGTTGGACACCCCTGATTTAGAACCTTAAAACTGAATTGGTGGCCATGTTAGCAGGGCAGCAAAGTTCATTCTCTCTTACTGTTCAAGACACATAGCAAAGAAGTAATCTGAACATATATACCCATCTCTAGAGAGCATTCAGTTTAGTTTAGTTTTATTCATTCTCCTCTGTCTTTAACTTTGGCCTTTCATGACATAGTCTGAAGCTGACCTGCCAGTTCCATTTTGTATAATCTGTGTTGACCTTTGGTCCAATGGAAACTGAATGTTTGACAGAAATATAGAGATCAGAAACCTGGTACTTTTTGGATCAAAAGACAATCGTGGGACATTGTCATGGTCTAGGAAATTTTTTAAAAATAGATAACTGTACAAATTTATCTTAGTAATTTTTCTGTGATTATGTGGTATATCCCTGTGTAAGAAAGTTAATTTTGTTCCAGTGTCCTAAAATTGATATTTTATAAAGAAAAGTATCAGATAACATCCTGGATCTTTAGCGTATAACATATTTTGACTTTTAGAACCAGTTGAATGGGTACTTCTACCTGGTAAATACATTGTAATACCTCTCTCTCTCTCTCTCTCTCTCTCTCTCTCTCTCTCTCTCTCTCTCATAGTTAAAATACATTTCCAAATAACAATAAAGTGATTCTTATGAAAAGAACCATTTAGACAATCAGGGTTTATTGAGGAACATAGTACTGAAATGGAAAAATTTACAGTTTCGTACATTTAAGTCAAGAAAAACAAATGGAACCATGATCTGAAATTTAGGGCCATATCAAGGGAAAATTATGCCCTTGCATGATTTGCATCACTCAGCACAGGGGAATTAAAATTAAAATCACTACAAAATGATCCTGATAGATTATTTACCCCAATTCCCTACTCAAAAATAAAATAAGAAAAGTTCCATTCAATTGGGAAAAAAGTCTTTTGGCGTGAATTCAAGAGGTTCACTTGTAGGTATATGGGCTGTTGGTTCCTTTTCTGACTATTCTGATCAGCTGCTTAAAGTTTGAGGGAATATCCTGGAGTACATGTGCCTTACCTTGCCATGGTTAAAACGCAAACCTTAGCACTATCAAAAGGGATGCTCAATATGTTTTGTGGAATGAATACAAGAAGCATTTAAAAAGAGGAATAGATCTCTCCTCTTCCCCCCCCCCCCCCCCAAAAAAAAAAGAATATGTTTTAAAATAGCTGAGAATGAAACATCTTGGGTTTAAGTTAAATTCTTCAGATTTTTTTTCCAGAAAGCAGAAGATCTGTAAGAAAATGAACTCTTCCAATTCCACTCTCCCTACCCAGAAAGGATCTACTTGAAACATATCTAAAGATGTGACTGACAATCCTGCTTTTGTCCCAACCGGACAATGGGATTTGCATTATACAGCTTTCAAACAATTAGTTTTTGGAAAATTTCTGGAAAAAAAACAACAGTATAATTTTCCACAGAAAAACTGATGGAAAACTTTAAGAAAAACTGGGAAGATACCACCATAGTACATTTGTGGGTGTCCTCATTTTTGCAAAATCCAAAGTCTTCTCTACTCTCTAATCAAATTGGATATTCTTGGACTGACTGCAGGGTATTTTTCCCTGTTCAGAACTCTGAGAAGTTGCTATAAACTGACCTAACAGTTTGTTGGAGAATATGCTTGTTAAATAAATGAAAGAATCTTACTTCTCTTTGAATGTCAGTTTAGATCGTCTCTAAGTTATAATAGCTGAAAGCTATGACTAGAGTTCCTAAGGTTTATTGAACTTAAAAATGGGAATTGTGTGAGGTCTTGGATTAAATTGGAGCAATAACATTGGAAATGTATTTTTCCTGTCCAAATCCCACTCCACCAAATCAAACCTAATTTATAATTGGGAATCATTTCAAATCCAGATCAGTTCAGTGACTATTTTTTTAAATCCTGGTCTTTTTCTCTTTGCATAGCTCTTTTTACTCTGATTTAGGGAAAAAAAACAAAAACCTCCTTTTACCAATGTAAAAAGAACCTCTTCCACACATCTCCAAAAGATTCTGAGTTCTCAAGGTAATTTTGACAGAGACAGGGCCATTCTACACAGGGTACTTCAAAGGATTATTGGTAGCGTGTGGAGCCCAGTAAAGTACTTAGGATCAGCAGGCTATAGAAAAATAAATTAGTCTGGAGAATCATCCTACTCATAGGCCAGCTCAGTTTAAACTAGCTTTCTATTTCACTTATCTGGTGACATATTCTATAGGCTACATTCACACATCACAGTAATCCATGGTTTGAATCATGTTTTTTTTTTTTTTAAGGAAGCCATGCAACATGCAAAGCTGGAAATCATGGTTTTCAAGCCATGAAGGCTGGGCTTGCACTCCAAACTATGTCAAAGTGAAACAAACCACATTATTGCTTAGTGCCCTGTATAAACTTAGCCATCGGCTTCCTTCTTAAGATTCCTGTATAACCCTCTCCACCCACTGCCCTCTGGCAATTTTGCCAAGAGCTTTCCAACAGAGTGAAGCATCCAATTATCCTTTACCTGCCACCGTTTGCCTCCCTTACACCAACCCCCTGGCTATTAACCTTCACAGCAGACTCAGGAGACAACTTCAGTCTCCTATTTTACATTGATACAGCCACCCAGCTGAGGAGCAGATGGTGCCGACAAGCTTCAGCAGCCCTGTTTGGATTTATCTTGGCTCGCAAGTTGCAGTGTTTCATCCAGGAGTATGATGTATATCTTTTTCTATCAGCAAAGAGCTAAGCCAAAACCATCCCTTCCTGCTAAATCCCCCCAGTTGTACACAAAGAATGAGATGACCTTTCTGGCTGAAATATTGATTGCCACCAACTAAGCTGCACAGAGCATATTTTCCCCTCTCTTTGCTACTCAAACTGTTGAAAATCGAAATGCAATGCAATAATTCCCAATCACAGCTAATCCACCGAAGGAAACAGTTACTGGCTTCCCACCCGGTCCCTTGAATCAAAATTTGGCTTCTTGTGGTCATTGTAAATACCTGATCAGAATGGAGACCCCAACATCCTCACAGTTCGCATAGACTCTGTTCCACGTCTCTTGAATCACCTTCCTTTCGGCATCTGACAGCTCTTCGCTTCTTTCCCATCTCTCAATCTCCATTTCTCCTTGGACTTTCTCCATGAAAAACAGCCAGCAAAATCTTCCAAGGAAGCCAAGAGATTAAAAAGATGTGTGAGTCTGTTGCTTTGTGGGTTTTGTCTGTTTCTGTATGTGTGTGTGTGTGTGTGTGTGTGTTTCCAGCAAGAAGAGAGAAGGTGCTCTGTTGGGTTCTGATGGGGTAGCTGATACTTGCCCTTGCCTTGTTCCTTAGGTCTGAGTGGCTTCCTATATAGGCAAACCGAGATATGTAATAGAGGTAATTAGGGAGGGAGATGGTGTGTGATCAGATTTCAGATCTTCTGGAGCAGTCCATTGCTGTGGTTTCCTTCAGCTCAGCATGTGTGTGTCTGCATGACTCGGAAGAGAAACTGGCAAAAAGTAGAATATTCAAAGGCACTGCAAGACCAGCCTCTTTACCAATGTGAGAATGTGAGCTCACTTTTCATTCTCCTCCCCTCCCTCCTCCTCCTTCTCCTGTGTGTGCATTTGTGGGTGAGTGAGTGAGAGGGGGAGAGGGGAAAAATGAGTGTCAAAAGCTCCTGGCTTTGACTATTTTATGCCTTGTGTGCTTTCCCTGTTTTCTGCATCTGCAAATGGGTTGGAGAAAATGCAGCATCTGAAGTGAACAGTTAAACTTATCCCAACAGCTGGCTTAGCTGAGATGATCTTTTTATGGCTTCCCACCCGCCAACATCTGCTTAGATTGTTTTTATCAACAGCAGCAAAAAAAAAAAAATCCTTATCTTTCATGGTCCCCCCCTTCTTTTTATTTTTGAGGGAGGGAGAACTGGGAGGAAAAAGACACTCTTGAATCAATGTTTATCTTTTGCACCATCTGAATTATATCTTTCCTCTGAAGGAATGTTTCTAATTATACAAGGCTTGATTTTGTTGTTTTTTTACTTCCTTATCTGTGAATCAGATATTAGAGGAATAATCTGGTTGAAAGCACTTGCGAAAGAAATGTATTAGCTACAAACTCTCCTTTGGGTTTTTAGATTGGAAATAAAATAGTTTTTTTCAGTCAAGAATGAAGGAATAGATTAAAAGCAAATATTGCTGCTTTGTGGGAATACTAGTAGATATTTGGCTGGCTCAATGTGTTTGTTTGTTATTCCAACTTGGATTAGAAATACTGAAATGTAATTCATTTTTCTCTCCCTCCCTCCCTCCTTTTCTTTCTCTTCTTTTGTGTAAGCACATGCAGACCTAATTTAGCTTTCCAAGAATTGATGCCTTCTAGGTTTGGGGATTATAACTCACAGAACTCCATGCCAGCATTACCAAAAATTGCTTTTGGCTAGGACCAATAAATAAGTTCTGAATTTATAAATATTAGGCTATATATGTTACTGTCCTGGCCAAATCATCTGTTGGAGGAGGACCAAGAGGAGTTGGAAAACATTGATCCTGCCCAAGAATTCCACCATTTCAGCAGATGCTACCTTTGAAACTTACTTTCAAAAGAAACAATGTTGTGGATCAAAACCCTTGTGTGAAGCTGGGAAGGAACAAAATTTGCTCAGTGGGAATCAAGCCCTTATAAAATTAATTTCCCCAGTGAGCTTCCTGCTGGACAGCTCCCCTTCTAACCTGAAAGTAATTATTGTTTTTATTCCTAGGGCTGCTCCTCGCTAAGTGTCTAGGTAGCAAGAGTGTCAGGATTGACATTCTGTATGTTGTTCTTCAAAGAGGGCAGGCACGGATGAACCATCGCCTTCCAAACTGCAGGCATGATTCTTCCAAGGAAGCACCAATATTTCTCATCAATACTCTGTCAAGTTCTGTTTGTTCTTATTCCCCTTGGAAGTCGTTGAAATGTCTATCCATTCCAAAACACGAATCCTATTACTGTGAAAACTACAAGAAAGTTTACCTCAAAGGACACTATGTGTTGCTGTATTTAAATGAAATACACTACTTTTTCAAAAGAGGCAACCCTTTCGTTATATTGTGGGTTACATGTAAAAATTCTGGTTGTTAAGATTTTGTTATAGTTTCTTCCCTCAAAGCACCGAAAGCACTTTGCCCCCATTTCAGAAGGAAGAGTGGATTTTGGCTCCTAAGAAAATTCTTACCCATTTATTAATCTTCTGGGAGAAATAGGCTAGTGGACTAGCAGGCCACTTAATGCAGCCTTAATAAAGAACTGCATCATTAGAATTCAACTGATCCCAAAGGGTTTAAATAGTGAAGCAAAAAATTCAGCCCAAACTAGCAGAAAAGATGATACAGATCTGTATTATAAATATAATTCAGATGTTTCAATCTTCTTAAACAACACAGAATGTTTTGTATGAAATTGGGAAGATAAGGGTGATTGAAGGGGCACATTGAAGCTTGAAGTTGCAAAGAAACATGATAAAGTAATAACTATTTACTCAATGAGTTTGAACCTCCAAAGCTAGATGAATAGCATCCTAGGTTATTGGAAGAACAAAGTGATAGGATGACTAACTATGATAATAACAATGATGATAATAACAAATTATCATAAATTTAAGGTGGGGCAGGAAAGAAGGACCTGATGAATTATGGCCAGTTAATCTGATATCAACATTTAGAAAGGTTCTAGATGTAGAGATTCATCTGCAGGGACTTGAAAACACAATAATTATTAAGTCAGCATAGATTTGTTACAAGACTAATTTCACCTTATATTTTGACTGGGTAATGCTTTAATTAAAAAAAAATTCAAATAATTTTTTTCAGCCAAATTCCCCCAAATCAGTTGACTTTAATGAATAACTGTAATGGGGAGAAGGAATAACCTTAAGGAACAGAAGGATCGCTATCAAGATAACAGTCAAGTGAGTCACAGCTAGAACTTTAACCTGTGTAACCATCTCAGGCAAGACTCTCCCAAATTCTCAGGAAAATAAAGGGAGGGAAGGGAGAAGTACATTCAGATTTGTAAGAGTCTGTTGCTGTAACAGAGGTAATAAAAGTAGTATTAGCATTTGCACCGTTTGAAGAGCTGCCAATAACAGAGAGATATCGAACTCATATGAATATTTTGATCTTTGTATAAGCAGGGAATAATGCATGTGGTGCAGATGCAGGTGAGGCTGATAATGTAGTCTATATCCCTTCAACGTTACTGAAAAATATTACCTGAAAGTTTGATTGACCAAAAGCTATGGTGGAAGGTGAGAGGTCTCCAAAATCTATTGGGTTGTCTTTGAAGATAACCATGGAATATGGGAGAGTGTGACTTAGAATGTACAAGGAGTAAAGAGGAAGAAGTAAGGAAAATTAGTTGAAAGTAGAATCACTGCAAGAGGAGAAAATCAGTGTCATATGGAAAAATATTAAGTTAAACTCTCATTGGAGTGAATAGAAAATAGAGGTAGAGAAAGAAAATGTGGGAGCTGCATGGAACACTTATGGGACCCAATGTCACCAAGTAATATGAAAATATGAGAAAGAATATTTGGTAGAATAGTAAACCATGGTAACAGTAAGTAGTAAATATGGAAACGTAATCCATTATTTGGATGACAAAAATAGCAGAGTTGCAAGGGATGTTGGAGGCCTTCTAGTCCAAGCCCCTGCTCAGATAAGAAATCCTGTATCATTTCAAATGGTTATCCAATCTCTTCTTAAAGTTTCCAGTGCTGGAGAATTCATAATTTCTGGAGGCAAGTTGTTCCTTGATTAGTTTCCATCAGTTGCTTCTTGTCCTGTCTTCAGGTGCTTTGGATAATAGGCTGTTGACCCCGTCTTCTTTGTGGCAGACCCTTAAATATTAATGTGGTTATCATGTTACCCCTAGTCCTTCTTTTTATTAAACTAGACATATCCAATTCCTGCAACTGTTATTTATATGTTTTAGCCTCCAGTCCCCTAATTGTCTTTGTTGCTCTTGTTTGCACTCTTTCTAAAGCCTCAACATCTTCTTTATATTGTGGCAACCATACATATTAAAAGATACATGTGAAAATGCATATGAAAGAGACACTGCTGCAAAATATTAGGAAGAGAGAAAGAGGTTGTACAGTATAATTCTTCATAGAGGAAAGGATAGATGCAAACAATGTAGTCAACACAGACTACTGTTAAAAGAACAGAAAAGGGTAGGTTGTTTTAAATATTTTTTTAAAATGTTTTTGGATTAGAGGAAGTGGGCTCAGTAGAATGACTAGAATTAAGAACAAAGGTGTGGAAATGAGAGAATGCTAGAGAAATTTTGAGAGATTTGCATGGGAATATAGTAGCATCTCAAAGAATGGAGCTGGAATTATTCATGAAAAAGTGATGTATAGGAAGTCAAACATGTTTTCACAATGTTGAAAAATTGTCAGATGTAAATTGTGTAAACAGTAAAAGGTTAAAATATTAGTGGTTTTGCTTATGACATGCCTATGTGATGAATTTAACACAGAGCGAGCCTGATTATGTGCCTGACAACTGGAAAATGCAATTTCCCCCAAAAGACATGTGCCTGTACTAAGAATAAATGCAAAACTATAGGGAGATTAGTTTGCACAGGGAGGGCATTTGGCAGACTTGTGACTGAATGGCTGTAAAATGGGACAGCAAAATTTAGGAAGCACCGTACACATTTATATCAGGTGCAGGACTGAAAACTAGATTTTATCTCATTAGCAAATCACTGACCGAGAAGGGCTGCCCTAAGCTTTTGAGTGATATGCTAAGATTGCATTCCAAAGTCAAGGAGGCCGTGATAAAAAAAACCTGCAGGATAAAAGCTGGGTCTGATTAAATATAATTAAAATTAAATATGGTTGATATGATTACTTCCTATGTATTTAATCATCTAACCCTTCAAGATTACTATATGCTTTTTGGCTTCTTGGCTCAAGACTTGTGGGGGTGGGTAGGAATTGGGGGGCAGTTGTGCACTCTTAAGTCAAACTTATGAAAAGTTTCCAATTGGGATGTAATCCAGGATCATACTTGTATGATTTTAACAACTCCATGAGTGTCCAGAAAAAAATCCAAATGGTCTGGATGATTTCCAAACTGGAACTGATCTAGTCCAAGCATTTCTAGGAAAAATAGTTTTATGTAAAGTATTATTTTTAAGGCTTAAATAATACTGAAATCAAAATAAAAGTTTACAGGGTGGTTTAAGGACCAGCATTGCATCTCTTTCTGACATTCAGATCTGAGATTCTATACAGAAGGAAGGGCTACATTTCCAGATACCAAATAAGTTACCAAGAGGTGTGTTGCTTGAGTTACAAAGGATCCATTTTAAAAGAGTAAATAGGAGGCTGGGTGAAACCAATGGAATAGAAAACAGATAGGAACCTATTGAGCAAAATCTGAAAACTTGCTCATGTTTAGAACAATTGCTACCAATAAATATTCAATGCACCAAAATTGCTGGGTGAATAAAGTAGCTTCGTATTACTATCGTATTACTATTGAGTCTAAAGCCTGTTTCAGTTTCATTGTACATCCCACTTTTCAGAGTCATTCTGTGGATAAAGTGTGGTAATCACACTTAAATCAAGCTGTATTTAAAGTCAAATCTTTTACATATCCAACTTTCATTGTGAGTCAGAATTACTTTATTACAGCCTTGATATTTCAAGAGATCCAATCAAATAGGTTTTCCACCAGGACTTAGAAGCCCATGGAAAAGCGGGAATGTGAATGTGAACTATGGTTTCAGAATGAATTGAACATGTGATAGCGTGCATTAGCTCAATAGTTCTCATTGTCATGAGCAAAAAACGGACTCAGATGTTTGTGGAATAAGCTGCCTCGCTTGTCAAGTATCGAGTGCCAACACAGCTCATTTTAATTCAAGCATAATATTTGCATATTGTGTTCCTTCCGATGCTCATTTCCAGTAACCTATTTATGAATAGAGCTATAATATATCTATGTGACAGATTATAAACGTTACTTCTTAATGAACCTTTCCCAATAAAAACAAATGGGATGGTATAGAAAAAAATTACAATGAATGTATGTTTACTTCAGGCTTTGGACGCTGACCTGTTTTCATACTTTTCCTTTGGGTGCTATGGAATGTATTTGTTAAGAAGCTGAATATGGGCTGTCAGTTTCTAGTTTCGATCACGCTGGTACAAAACAAGAGAGGAGGCTTTATTTATATTTTTTTCAAAGGAGAAATCTGATTCTGAAATGACACTCAAGATACAACAGATTGGAATACTGAGAGGGCAAGAAAAAAAATCTGGCTTTGACCACAGAACAAACATCCAGTAGTAGAAGCCAAGTTCCACGTTCCTCGGGTTTCTTTTGCAAGACAGCAACAGCAGCAGCAAAAAACAATCAGATTGGCAAGACCTCTTTGGACCTATAATTATGACTTACGATCACAATTGGGCCCAAAATGTCTGTTGCTAAGTGAGACATTTGTTTTGCCCCATTTTGACCTTTTTTTGCTAAGTTAATCGCTGTGGTTGTTAAGTTAGTAACATGGCTGTAAAGTGACTCTGGCTTCCCCAATGACTTTGCTTGTCAGAAGGTCATAAAAAGGGATCACATGATCCCAGGACACTGCAATTGTCATAATATGAGTCAGTTGCCAAGGGTCTCAATTTTTATCACATGACCATGGGGATGTTGCAACAGTTGTAAGTGTGAGAACTGGTCATAAGTCATTTTTTTTAAAGTGATGTTGTAACTTTGAATGATCACTAAACGAACTGTTGTAAGTCAAGGACTACCTGTACTGAACAATTATAATATACAATTAAAAAAACAAGGTAAAAGGACACATGCTATGGGTGACATGTTGTTACTTATTGTGAGATAAAATGATTCCCCCAACCCTAGTTCAATATTTAAGGAAACTAATAGGATTCTTTTGATTTTTCTAGGGCTTTCCCCCTCAGATTAGCAGATTGTACTTTTCCTTCAAAGGAATGCCAAGATAGGATATAATAGCCAGGTTGCAAAACTCTGGACCACCATTAGATAGTCATTAAATGCCATTAAACCTCTTTGCTGTTACTTCATTATTATCCTGGATTTTGTTGTCCAGAGTTGGTAACTCTAGAACTCAGCTGAAGGCATCTTTGAAGAAATGTCTTCCTTATCCTTTTTCTCTACATCATTATATCTTCTCCATCTGAGTCCCTGTACTCCTTCAAGAAAATGAAGAAAGGAGGGCCTATCCAACCCCATAGTTACTTAGTAGCTTCTGGATGCATTGAAAGAAAACTCCCATTGTTTCCATTCTGAGTGACAGGATAATAGTTCCAGAGATGGGCTGGTGCCACTTCCAACCGTTTCATCTGTATTGGTAGTTCCGACCACCAGCTGGGCCTGCCCCCTTGCCCCAGTGCTGTCCCATCCTATATATCTCACTCTCTGGCTTGCTCACCCCACCTACGCAGCTCTGATTTCCACACCTCGCCCATTCTACTCACCGTGGCTGCCTGAGAAGGTGTGCTGGAAATTACCGTGTGTTCAAAGCTGCGTGCATGCATGCAAAGTGTGCATGCATGCACACGCTCACATTTTTGGTTCTGCACTAGGTAATTAAATTATGTGAAGCCCACCTCTGAATGGTTCCGAACATCTGCACAACATGAGAAAATCGCTGTTCATTTATTACATTCTTGTCTTGTTTTCTATGGTACAAATGCTCTCAAAGCTATTTCTGAGCACGCTTCCTAGGTACTTGGCTTCACCAGCAAACTTTCAGATGTGAGTGCAAAGGAAACTGAACATTGCAATGACAAATTCACCCACTCCGTACATATGTTTATTTTAAAGGGAAACTGGTATATTTCCCACATACAACCACACCTATATATGGCACAACAGCATTAGCTTGATTTTCATACACTCAGGATTACATGAAATGGAGAAGCAACACCTCAAGAAACAGGGGAGGGAGGCTTCTTTATAGGCTCATAGATAGCACATGGATAGACATAATAATTATAAATAACCAAGAAAGAAAAGTTGGAGAGGATGATAGATGCCAAATTTGGCTGGGAAGGTAGCCCTAAAAAAATCCAGTTTGATATTTTGTTCAGTACCAAGGAAAACACATAGCAAGTCCAAAATAAAAGAGTACAAATGGATAAAACTAAATATTTTCAAAGGAAGAGAACAAGAATAAAATATACTTACCTGTCCTAAAGAAGATGGATTGCAAAAGAAATTAAATTTCCCAGTAGCTGTTGGGCAAGATTACTGTGTGCAAGTAGAATTCTGAATTCAGAATCAAATCTTATGCAAGGTCAAACATTTTGATAAAAATAGAGCTGCATTTATCCAGTAGCTACATTTAACTTGAAATTCACTCTTAACTCTTAAGTAGTAATATTTCCTTCCCCTTAGGTACTTTAGACCTTAGACGTAGGTCCATTAAATCTGGCTTTGAGACTAAATGGCTCTTCTTCAGGGAAAAGCAATGGAAAATATTTTATATCTTGCAGTAACAAAGAACCAAGAGTGCCAAAGAGACAAGAACTCTGGATCTTAAAACATAAACTCTAGGGAAAAAAATACGAGCTAGTGCTAAGTAGGAATCTCAAGAACCAAAATGAATTCTAGATCAGTTGTACAGTTCTTCGGAAACAGAATTCTAGTCTAGAAACGGACAATGATTCTGCAGGCTGAAGAGTTAGTTATAACTCCCTGGACGAAGGAGAATCAAGGTGAAAGTCTGCTACAGCACATGATTAGATTAACCTTTGTGAACAGCAGAAGGTACTCAAATGGTAAACATTTGATCAACAAGACCAGGTGATTAACCAAAGGATCATTGACTCCTACAATTTGAATGAAAACAGTTCTCTCTCCCTGTCGTCCTCGCCCCCATTTCCAAAGATGATTTATAGTCATCACTCTACCTAGGTAATCTTTTGGGTGTTGCTAGGTTGCAGATGATATGTGCTTATCTTTTCAGAAGGCATGTGCCTTTGAGCACAAATCTTCTGAATTCCCTGGGGAGGGGATTTTATCAGCAATGTACCTGGTGGCTATGTTGCTATTCTTTGTGTGAGGGAGCAGCAGAACAGAGATGAATTTACACATTCCTGATCTCTTTAAACTTCCACACAATGACCTTTCAATGAAAAACAGATCACTTGCCAGGATGAAACATCTATATAGCATACTATAGGAGCCCCTAACTGAATCTATCTAAATTCAGGTTGCCCATCAATCAAAATATATACACTGTCTTTCTTCTGTAATCTGGGGATCTCATTCTGGAAGGCCTGAATAGACAGAATTCAGCTTTTGTTCCGCCCTCCCCCCCAAAAAAAAACACACACACACACACACACACACACAAAACCCCTTCACTGCTGGATAATTTCTGGTTTGTAGCTAGATTCAGGACAGGGGTGGAATTCAAATTTTTTCACAACTGGTTCTGTGGGCATGGCTTAGTTGGTGGGTATGGCTTGGTGGTCATGTTATTGGCTGGGCTTGGCCAACTCAGTATCACTCACGTCAAGGCACGCATCTCCTTGCCTGGCCTCTCATAACTGCGGGGATGCTGCAATAGTCGTAAGTGTGAAAAATAGTCATAAGTCACTTATTTCAGTGCCGTTGTAACTTTGAATGGTCACTCCACACAAGCAAAGTACCAGCAAAGGAGGGGGAAAAAAACTCCAGAGAAGTTCCTGAGACAGGAAGTCTAGTCCTGCCAAGAATGTAATAAGGGTTAACAGAGAGGCAGTTTCTGTAAGCAACACCAGAAAGTTTCCTTCCTGCCTTCCTTACAGGATTAGGCCAGTAACAACCAGTTCTCTGAACTGCTTAGAATGTTAACAACTGGTTCTACCGAATAGGTGCGAACTGGTAGAATCCCAGCCCTGCTTCAGGAATCCTAAATGGAGAAGTTTGCTTAGTAGGAGAAAGCAACAGTTGGTCTCTCCAAAGAGGCTGCTTTATAGTTATCCTCCACTTTCTATAAAAACTGAGATTAGTGCAAAATAAAAATAAAAATAAAAGATACAACATATTCTGAACATGTCCTGAAAGCAGGTAGTAAATATCTAATTTAGCTATTGTCTGTTTGGATGTCTTTGCTATTGTTGAGTTCTCTGTTCTACATTTTTACTTCTGAGATTTGACCTCAGTAAGGGATTTTCCCAAGAGTGCAAGGTTGCACTGGTCCTTCTTGTGTTTCAGGACCTGGGCAAGATTTCTTAAGTTCTGTATTTCTGAGCTCTGAGAAGGAAGTAAATGCTTAAGCATTTTACTTTTACTTTTCCCAGGGCTGAAGGGAGGCAGCTGGGATGGAAGTTCCCAGAACTTGCCAGTTGAAAATGCAGTTTAACTCAGGATCACAAATAATTATATGATACCTGAACTGCAAAATCAGGAGGGTCACTAAATGGCAGCAAAAAGATTCAGAAAAACTAAATTCTTCCTTGTCATCCAGTTATGGCATGCCTAATTATAATGATCTTTTATCTAACAGATTACATCTGGAACAAAAGTTCTAGATGTTATTCTTCCATGTCTATCTGAGCTGCACAAATACACACAACCAGTAGAGGGCCACAAAAATGTAGCACCTTCTGCAAAACTTTCTGCATTTCATGATTGTCCACATTTTTACCCTAGGTGTAGTAGCCCTAAATAAGCAACTGTGCCTCAAACCAGGAACAACCATTGCCATCAGATATCATGGGACAGGAATCAAAGGGGTAAAAAACCCCAGAAGTAACAAGAGTTGAATCGATGAATCATATTGATGAATTAAACCTCCATACTTGATTTCCTTCCCAAAATATTTAAATGATATTGTGGAAAGGAAATCACCCCCCCCCCTTCTCTCCACAAGTCTTCCTTCCACCCTAGTCTTCCCGAGAAACAGGACATTAAAATTTACAATTAGAATGGGCTTAACACAAAGAAATAAAAGTACTGGGAACATTCCTTCCAAGGTGATTAAAATCACAAAGCCCTGATTAAATAGCAAAAGATCCTTTCTCCCAAAGGATTTCCAAACACTTAAATATAAAATGCTGATTTTAAAAGAAAGGACTTCTGTTTTAGATCTGCATCTGATCCAAAACCTGAAAAATCAGTGTAACTCTACATTTTGAAGAGGGACTGAGGAGGGAAACAAAATGATAAGTCATGTAGCTTATTGTGTCTATGTGTACACGTGCATAGGTGTACATGTGCATACACACAGAAATACATACATACACATAGAGAGACATACATACTCATAGATACAATAGGGCGTCAAGGGTTCAAAAGATAGTGAATGTTTGGACTTTCAAAGAGCCTTTGTCAAAATTCTCTTTGACAGAAAAGGATTTAAATGGCAAATGCAATTTAATGTAAATAAATACAAGGTAATGCGAAAAGATTTTAGAGTGATTGCTCCATGAAATTTGATAGGAAAAAAAGTGAGGCTGCTGCAAGAAGGCAAATTCCAAAGAAGTTTAAACAATTTTAGTAATTTATCACCTTCTCTTTGTTGAAAGGCTGGAAAATGCCTTTCTTCTGAGAGCTCGATTTTCCTGCTGGGAGAACTCCGGTTTAAAGACAGAGGCAACTGCTTGGAAGCGGGTTCCTTTTATTTTTCAGGAAGGCAAGAGATAGCAAGAAGTCTGCGTTCCTGGGGCTAGCCATCTTTGTATAATAAACCCCTGATTTTTATACCTTTTCTCCTTTTGTGTGTGTGTGTGTGCTTGTGTTTGTATTTCTTAATGTTTTAAATCCTGTCAAGGGTTGTCTTCATTTCCGCCAGAGGGTAAACTCCACGGGGTGGTTTGATTGGATTATCAGTTTCATTCTAATGTTTTCTTATATTTGTTTGGTGGCAATCTCCTGTCTGTTTCCTATGTAATTTATTCTGTGTCTTTTGTTTGTTTGTTTTGCTGATTGGGCCTGTTTTCTTTTCCTAGCTTTCTTAATTACTTGGCTTTTGTCTAGGGGGCTCCTTTCAATACTTTTTATTAAATTTCTTTTCCTATGCAAGTTTGTTTTTATGGCTAGCCTGATGTTCCCTTTGGGCTTTTCCTGCTTGGGTGTCACCACTGTCCTCATGAAGTTCCCTTTCCACATCTTAAAATACAACAAATGATTTTTTCTTTCCCTATATCATCTTTTACCTTTAACAAACATCATCATTTCAATCCTGACCAGCAAAAGTTTGTTAAGGGTTATCAAAAACAACAACACAGTTATTTTATGTTAAAATAAAATAAAACACACCAACTTTATATTCCTTCCTTTTATTTTTAGCAATATTATTTAATCTCTTTAGATAATGACTTAGAATTTGTTTTCTTTTCATTTTTAAAAAATGTCTTCTTATAACATTTTTCAAAGCTTTTACAAGACATTGTCAACTCCCCCAGGTAAACCAGACAGGAAACACAACCAAATGAGCTAAATCCATTTTATTGTAAATCTACATGAACAGAATCTTGCAAGTTTGAAGGTACAAATGTTCTTTTGCCACTTTTCACTGTTTGATTCATTGGGGAAGGTCCTTCCTAAGTTTCCTCTTTTGACTGCTAAGCTATTTGATGCTCCTGCCTCTTTTGTCTGATTGTTTCTTCTGATAAATATAAATATTTCTTTATAAAATATGTAGCTAAACTATAGAACTAGCTATTATCAGTTCTGGTGATTTCCACCAGATAAAATGATTTTTCAAAAGGTACTAGACAAGTTAATGGAACAGCAGCTGGTGGAAAAAAGATGGTGACAGAATTCTCACCTCCTTTCCAGATTTGGCTAGGATCTAGACTAAATCAGCAGGCCTGGTTAGAAGTCTGATCCAGACCCTTTATTTTCTCATTTGTTTTTACCGAGCTAGATGGATCAGTGGCTTAATTCCATATAAGGTAGCTAGCTTTTTATATTTCTAATTTTTGTTTTCTTTTTTTGTATTATGTTCATTTTTAAATATGATGTCCAAGAATGTCCCAAAGGTGCTTTTCCAAGGCAACTAGACTTTCTTGGGTTTTTCCTTTGAATGTTTCACTTCTCATCCAAGAAGCTTCTCCTATTCTGAAGTTCTTGGATGAAAAGTGAAACATTTTCAAGGAAAAATCAAGAAAGTCCAACTGCTTTTTGGAAAAGCACCTTTGGGACAGCCATGATCTGGATGATTGAGAATCTCCATAGACATGTCCGAGGATGATTTCTGAATGCGTCATAACAGTCTAAAGCTGTTGAAATCACCGGCTGCAGCTGAAAACCCAGATCTAATGCTCCTCATTTGATAGAGTGGATGATCCCGGGCAGTACCACTTACATTAACTTACAACACCCTGCAAGATAATGAAATCTCCCCCTGATTCAGTCCTTCTGTCCCTCCTTTAGAGATACACCACACAGCTGAGATCAAAACAAACCTTTTTTTAAAGAAGAAAATATAAAAATCATGAAATGTAAAATATTTAAGAGGCAAGAATTCAGTATAGAAAAAAATAAATTTTAATAGCTGTCCAGAACATGGGGAAGCAATGGCTTAAAAGAATTGACAAAAATTGCAATGGTCCATAAGATGGTAGTGGTCTGCTACAAATTTCTTGGATTTTCTGGCAAGAAATTAAAAAGAGTCCTAAATATTGTATAGTCCACATTAC